CTTTGGATCAATTGGGTAGAAAATTTACGTCTTAACAATATTGAATCTTCCGACACATGAGTGTGGAGTAGTTAGCTATTATTCAGAATTGATCAGCAAATGACTTGAGCCTAGGGATTTCTTTATGGGAGTATTTCTGGTTAGGAACTCAAGTTTTTAATAGATACTTAGTTAACTAGAGGTTTATTAATTTTATGACAGTTTTCAAAGAACCAACTTTTGGCTTTGCCAATTTTCTTTCTTTTTTTCTGCTTCATTGAATTTCATCCTTATATTTATTATTTCCTTTCTTCTACTTATCTTGTGTTATATTTTCCCCTGTTTTTCTAAATTCTTAAGTTGGAAGCTCAATGATTGATTTTCAACATTTTAATGTTTAGACATTGATTTAAACTATTACAATTTTAAACATTGATTTTAAATATTTAAAGGTATACATTTCCTCCTAAGCACTGCTTTAGCTGCATCTCTCAATCTTTGATATGTTTTCCTTACCATTCAGTTCAAGATATTTTCTAATTTCCCTTCTTATTTTTCATTTGATCTGTGTACTATTTAGGATGTTGATTAATTACAAAATATTTTAATTTTCTAGACGTCTACATATTTTATTGTTATTGCTTTCCATTTGGTTTAATGGTAGTCTCAAAACAGGCAATGTATGATTTTAAACCTATGAAAGTTATTAAAACCTGTTTTATTATCCTGTATATGATGTTTGGTCCATGTGGTCCAGCATATAGTTTATCTTGGTAAACATTTCATGTGGGCTTGAAAAGATTATTGTGCAGTTGTTGGATGCAAAGGGAAATCACACAGGATAACTGTGGAATACCATGAACAGCTTTATGCCAAAAGAATCGACAATTTAGATGAAATGGGACAACTTCCTTGAAAGACACAAACCACCAAAACTCACATCAGATGTGATAGAAAAGTCTGTATAGATGCAAACAGTTCTTTATATATTCTTGATATAGTGATTTTCTTTCAGGTAAATTAATTGTAAATGTTTTCTGCTGGGCTGTGGTTTGCCTTTTCATTTTCTTACTGGTGTTGTCAGAAGAGATGTTTTCATTTTGATGACATCCAATGTATCAGTTACTTTTTTTTTCATGGTTAGTGCATCCTGTCTTGTCTACTCTAAGGTGGAGAAGATGTCCTCCTATGTGTCTTTCTAGATTTAACTTTTACATTATTTTATAACTTTATACTTTATTTTTCTTGAATTAATTTTTGCATATAGAGCGACAAGTCCCAACTACTATGTACAATGGAAAATGCCCTCAGGGAAGCATGTTGTATAAATAGGGGTCTCACCCAGTGTGGTTCCCTTCCTTCAAAGATCCAGTGTCCCCAACTTCCTGCTCTTTTTCATCACTCTGCAATGCCTTCAAAGTTGCTTTTACATTTTACTTGATTATAATTGTTATCTGCAGGAATATTAGTATATTCTACTACTGGGCTCAGAACTCCTTTAATCTCCTTTTTAACCAGATATCAGACTGTGATTTTAAAATGTGAAGATGATCTGTTTCAGAAATTCTGGAAAATTTTCATCTACTCTCTTTAAATATTTCATTTATTCTCTATTCTCCCCATTTTTCTCCTTTTGTAATTCCTAGTAGCCATTTTTATACTTTCTTATTCTATCCTTCTTATTTCTCTTGATGTCTTATATTCTGAATTTCCCTTTCTCTTTGTGCTGCATTCTGGATAATGTCCTCAGATCTGTCTTCCAGATTATTAATTCTCTTATCAACAGCAGCTTAGTTTTGTCCAATGATCTTTTTTCTTTCTTTGATTACATTTTTTAATTCTGGTCTCCCCCCTTCTATAAATCAGCCTGTCTTTTTTTCCTCATGTTTCCATTGTTCATTTTATATCCTTCATTATTTGACACTTTCCTATGTTATATCTTTTTACATTATTCTGTTACTTCAAGTCTTGTATACTCATCCTCTTGTTTGCTGACCCTACCTCATGAAATGGTTTTTTTGTGTGTGTGAGGTGCAACATTCATGATCTCAAGAAGGTGTGGCAACGATCCTCAGAAGAGGTTGATCGTTTTCTCAGTGAAAATGTGTGCGTTTAGTTTGCTCTGCAGTTTGTTTCTAGGATTTCAAGGGCTAGTGACCTGCTTTTACACTGATTTCTCACCTTGGGGGATACAAGCACCATGTGGGTTGCATAAACTTTGCTCCACACCAGTGGTGTTGGTCTGAGACTCTTAACTTCCAATAGGATGCTTTATTTTGTCTTCCCATTAAGAGGAGCTCAGGCAGAGATATACATTCTCATTACCACACACACAAGCTGATGAACGGACTTAGCTAGCCCACCCCATATAGCAGATTTAAATCTAGCCCAGACCTAGCCAGATGTAAGGCTTAACTGTAAATCTCAATCTAATGCAAGGTCAATGCAGCCTCTGCTGTTCATCTCCATGAGTTAAAATACCAGCCCCGGGCTTCCCTGGTGGCGCAGTGGTTGAGAGTCCGCCTGCCGATGCAGGGGACACGGGTTCGTGCCCCGGTCCGGGAAGATCCCACGTGCCGCGGAGCGGCTGGGCCCGTGAGCCATGGCCGCTGAGCCTGCGCGTCTGGAGCCTGTGCTCCGCAACGGGAGAGGCCACGGCAGTGAGAGGCCCGCGTACCGCAAAAAAAAAAAAAATTGAAAAAAAAAAAAAATCCCAGTCCCAGTCTCCACGGCCTAGCTGTTCTGTTAGTTTCTGGGGTCCCTGTGGTAAGCCTTTGTAAGCTGCTCTCTCTAGCTGCAGTTGCCTCTTTATTTCTGGAACCTGGGAACTTCCCTTCCTTCCATTTGGATTCATTTGCATTCAGCAGTATCATTAACCAAATGTTTCTGTGGTAGCAGGAGAGAGTCCCTCACTACCTGAGAACTTAAAGTTGCTGTTAGCGTTTATTATTCTTGAAGGAATGTAGAGGGTGCATTTCATTTATATGTTTATCCTTTATAGTACTTAGCTCAGGGCTCTACAAGTCCATCAGTGCTTAATAAAAATCGGCAGAATGAATTCTAAAATGAATCGAAGGAGAGGACTTTAAATAATAAAAGCTAAAAGAAAGAAGGCTTTAGTCTTTTAAAAGATGAATTCTCTCTCCCCATCTCAAATGGTTGTAAGAGTGAGGTGGGGACAGGGCCTGGCAGAAGGTATTACCTTCCTTACTGATGTATCAATACTCGCAACGTACTGCTTCATTTCCAGAAAAAAGTCCCCTGCTGGTTGCTGTCCACAGAAATTCTGCCAACATCCTGGTGGTTGCTGGTTTGTAGTTTTATGGGTTTCCAGAGGATCAAACACTGTATTATTATGTTTGGCTACTAACTCGGGTCAGCAGTTCAAAAGGAGAAAAGAAGGGGAGTAAAGTAGCTAGGAGGGGAAATGGGGATCATACGTAAGCTGGTGTATTTAAGACAATGAGTTGAATTTACTGAGCATGAAGCAGTCTTTACTGAATCTCAGTTAATTTCATTTCAACAGAATATGATTGTATAGGTTCAAAGCTCTGTTTTCTAAGAACTGAAGATATGGCAGTTAGGTACCAGTTTTAATTTGGACTAAGGAATAAATAGGTTGCTTGCTCCATGTGTATGCTTTTACAAAGTGTTGAAATGGAATGTTTTTTATCAACAATGACAGAAACAAATAGATTATTAAACATACCCTGAATCCCAAATCTCTCTTCCTTCAAAATATATTTATTTACCTAAATATAATTTGTAGGAATATTGATATGAAATATATATATAAGTATAATATTTGGCATTTAAAAATAACATTCAGTGGGCTTCCCTGGTGGCACAGTGGTTGGGAGTCCGCCTGCCGATGCAGGGGACACGGGTTCGAGCCCTGGTCCAGGAAGATATCACATGCCGCGGAGCAGCTAAGCCCATACGCCACAACTACTGAGCCTGCGCTCTAGAGCCCGCGAGCCACAACTGCTGAGCCCACGTGCCACAACTACTGAAGCCCGCGCGCCTAGAGCCCGTGCTCCGCAACAAGAGAAGCCACCGCAATGAGAAGCCCGCGCACCACAATGAAGAGTAGCCCCTGCTCGCCGCAACTAGAGAAAGCCCGTGCGCAGCAACGAAGACCCAACACAGCCAAAAATAGATAAATAAAATAAATTCATAAAAAAATAATAATTATGGAGTTACTGAAATACATAAACTATTTTAAGATCTGAGACAATGTGTATATTTTCTCAGGAAATGAGGTTCAAATTATTAATGTAAGAAACCCTGGACCTTGACCATGTCATTATTGAATTCTGCATCCCCAGCACTTTCTTTAGTCTCAGAGAAGAATCAGCGTATGTGTAACACTCGTAACAAGTGTAACATCCTTTTATAGGGCCAAAAAAATTCATGTTTCACTTTGCCTTAGATCCGAAAGGGACTGGGAGAGGGACGGGTAAAACTATTTTGTTTGCCATTTTGTTTAACACAAGACAAACTGTTTATTCCCATATCGGTTGCTTCTGTTTCCTGCTCCATTCTCAAAATAACTGTTTGGTGCTGTTAACTCTATAATGAGCTGGCTATCAAGTCCAAAAGGCATAAGAGAGGATTGTGTACTGACATTAAATAAAGCATCAGGGAGGGATAAATTGGGAGTTCGGGATTAACATACACACACTACTATATTTAAAATAGATAACCAACAAAGACCTACTGTGTAGCACAGGGAACTCTGCTCCATATTCTGTAATAAACCTAAGTGGAAAAAGAATTTGAAAAAGAATAGATATATGTATAGCTGAATCACTTTGCAGTATACCCGAAACTAACACAACATTTCAAATCAACTATAGTCCAATATAAAATAAAAATTATAAAAAAAGCATCAGACACAATACAGCTCTTTATTATTATTAAGACAAAAGTGTGGATATATACATATATTTTATTTATCAATTTATCCATTATTCTCTTATCAAATAGATATTTATGGAACACTTATTTTGGGTTTCTAGGCACTAGGAACTCAGCCATGAAGAAGTGAAACAAGATGTTCGCTTCCAAGGAGGAAACACGCTGGCCTGGAGGTACCATAAGCCACAAAGCGGATAATGCAAGGGCTGTGGATAAAACAGGAAAGAAATAGAGAGGGACCGGCTTGTGTTGGGAGGGCTGTGCAGAGCAGGGTGGCCAGAGATGGCCTTTCTGAGAAGATACCATGTATGCAGGCACCTGAAGGGCGAAAAGGAGCCCGCTTGTTGAGGATAGACGGAAGCCGTTAATGGCGATACCCAGGCCACGCCCTCCTCTCACTGGGGTCCGGGCCGTAGGCCCCCATCTAAATACTTGAAAGTTAAAAATCAAGCTTACAAACCATTAATACAATATTTTCTATAATCCCACCTTGACAGATAAGCCTCCCTAACAACCTGGAAGGCTTGCTTGACATTTAGAATACCTTGAACTTTTGGGCGCTCTTCCTTGACACATGGCAGCATGGGGAGAGCTGGCAGCATGGTGGAGGGCCAGCCCCACCCCTAAATAAGCCTGTTTTTCCTTCTCCTCTCACCTCTGGCTGCTTCCACCACCTGAGGAGGCCCCCAGGCTCGCGTGCGGACAGCCCAGTCCACGCTTCCAAGCTCTGTCCACACCCCTGCTGCCCGCCACTGCTTGACAACCTCTTGGGCCAAGAGAGGACATGTTACTACTTTCAACCAATTTGACTTTACTAAAAGTCTCCCCTACGACTAAAAGTTCCGACTCTAAAGTTCTCGAGGTGTGACTGTGATTGAGATGTGTCAGAAAAATCAGAAAGGCCAGGGTGGGCAGTGGACAGTCCCCCAGTGCAGTGGAAAGTTACTAAGTTGAGCATAACCCGCTGTGCTCCACATCTGTCTCATATCGACATTTTCATCTATTACAAAAATGACGTTCCAAAATGCCAGTCTAGCTTGTGGGTTTCAAGGAAGAGTTTCCAGTCTGATATATAGTATCATTCATCCTCTCTCCACCTCCTTAAAAGAAAGACCCTGACTGCAGCAACACCTACACGGAGAAAGGAGGACCAGCTCTGTTTTATGGGTAAGCAAACTGAAGCTCAGTGTTCCCTAAGGCGGCAGAATAGAAAAGGGTTAGGAGCATGGAGACTCATTTGGGTCCTGAGTATCCTACATGCTGGCTGTGTGACTTTGGATGAGTTAATATCTCTACCTTTAGTTGTATTTAATAAATCATCTCATCAATGGTGACAATAACAGTATTCACCACCTAACGTTATTGAGGGAATTTAAATGAGCTGACACATGTAATGCATTTAACAGAATGCCTGGCACATAATTTATGGTCAATAAGCATTCGTTGGTTTTAATTATTATTTCTTCTACCAGTACAACTATTTCTGCTATGACTGTTATTCAGAGCTACATTAAGTAATTGAGAGAACTTCAATGTAGGTTTTCTGATTCAAAGACTAGCGCCCTGGAAACCTTTAAACTAATGCTCATTTCAGAAACAAAATAAAAACGCAAAACAACAAAAAAGTAACAACAAAATCCAACAGCACCATTACTTGCAGACAACCACCGTCACCCCCAATCACAGTATTAAAGGAGGTAAAGTCGGGGCATTGACATCTCCTAGTTTTGTAAAGGCAAAGCTGTATCCTTCCCTGTACAATCACACTCACTGTGAAGCTGGCTCGGAACCAGCATCTGAGGAAGCTCTTGACTGTTCACATAAATGGAGTGTGACAGTTTTGAGAATATGAAACAACGGACTACAAAACCTAATTACAATTTGGCCTTTGGCTTTAGGGCTGGAGGTTCAAAATCTCTCTCTCTCTCTGTCCTTCCCTACCTCCCTTCCTCCCTTTTTTTCTCTGTCTCTTCCTCTGACTGTCTCTCCCTCACATACACACAGAAGTACAGACACAAAGACACACACATACACACATTAGACGTGCACGCACGGTTTTCCCTATATTGACCACCATGCTCTTAGACTCACTTTGGCGCCCTATGACTATCGTAGATAATCGCTCCTACTCAGTAGTTAACTATACGTGAAATTCCAACATGACCTTAAATACCTTGCTGTGCTAGACATTGTATTGCAATCATGACAGGTTCAACGAGTTAAAATATGGTAGCAAGGTTGTTTTGCAGAAGAAAATATTTTGTTCTCAGGCTTTGTACCTGGACTTCATACTGCTTCTAGGAAAACTTCTAGCCCCTGTGTGGTAAGAACTTTGAGCTCAAGCAGACTGGGGTCAAATCCTGGCTTTCCACAAGGGATTTCTACAAAGTTCAATCTCTCTGAATCTAAGTTTCATTCTCTGTAAGGAAGACTACCATAAATAACTACTTTCGTTATTGTTAATATTTATTATTGTGATTATTCCTTGAAATTAGAGCTAAGAGACTCTATGAAACCCATAATAATCCTTACCTGCCACTCGGGAGGAAAATCTTTGACAGAAGAAATTCTTAAAGAGCATGTTGTTAGCCTAGGTTCCTTAGAAAGAGAACCCTGAGGCAAGGGCTGTATGGGGTAGTTTCTTTGGGGAAGTAATCTCAGATATGAGGCGTGGTGGACTGGAGAAGGCGAAGCAAGATTGGTGGGGAAATGGCATTGTTTTGTCCTTTTTTGTGGCTGAGTAATATTCCATTGTATACATGTACCACATCTTCTTTATCCATTCCTCTGTCGGTGGACACCTAGGTTGCTTCCATGCCTTGGCTGTTGTGAATGGTGCTGCTGTGAACATTGGGGTGCATGTGTCTTTTCAAATTATGCTTTTCTCTGGATATATGCCCGGGAGTGGGATTGCAGGATCCTCTGGTAGTTCTACCATACTCTTCCCATAGTGGCCGTACCGATTCACATTCCCACCAGCAGTGCAGGAGGGCTCCCTTTTCTCCACACCCTCTCCAGCATTTACTGTCTGCAGCAACATGATTGGACCCAGAGATTGTTATACTGAGGGAAGTAAGTCAGACAAAGACAAATATATGATATCGCTTATATGTAGAATCTAAAAAAAAGGCTACAGATGAACTTATCTACAAAACAGAAATAGAGTCACAAATATGGAAAACAAACTTATGGTTACCAGGGGGTAAGGGCGGGGGAGGGATGAATTGGGGGCTTGGGGTTGACATATGCACACGACTGTATATAAACTAGGTAACTAATAAGGACCTGCTGTACAGCACAGGGAACTCTACTCGATACTCTGTGATGGCCTATGTGGGAAAAGAATCCGAAACGAGTGGATACGTGTGTACGTGTAACTAATTCACCTTGCTGTACACCTGAAACTCGCACAATATTGTAAATCAACTGGACTCCAGTAAAAATGAAAACAGAAGAGAAAGACAGGTGGGCAAGCCCACTAACAGCAGCCTAGTCGAGTGGCCTCCCCTGAGCTTCAGTGGCTCCACTGCCATGCCCACAGGCGTAGAGATCTGGGCTCCATGCAGTCTAGAGCTGCCGTCTGAAAGAAGGAAGCAGATAGCAGCCTAGTCGAGTGGCCTCCACTGAGCTTCAGAGGCTCCGCTGCCATGCCCACAGGCGTAGAGATCTGGGCTCCATGCGGTCTAGAGCTGCCGCCTGAAAGAAGGAAGCAGATAGCAGCCTAGTCGAGTGGCCTCCACTGAGCTTCAGAGGCTCCACGGCCATGCCCACAGGTGTAGAGATCTGGGCTCCATGCGGTCTAGAACTGCGGTCTGAAGCTTTAGTGGCTCCACTGCCATGCCCACAGGCGTAGAGATCTGGGCTCCGTGCGGTCTAGAGCTGCCGTCTGAAAGGAGGACGCAGAGGAGAGTTATGCACGAGTTCCCATCCTCCGAGGTTCAAATGCTGACCCCGGGGGCAGCAATTCCTTAGAGCTTCCGGGATGCACATGTGTGAGTGCCCAGAAGGTTCTGGTAACCGTCCCACCGTGTGGGTGTCAGAGACGCCCCAGGGCAGACAGTGCAGCTGAAGCGAGACGCGGTCAGATGACACTGCTGGCAGCCTCTGCCTGAGCAATGGTCTCAGTGGAGGAAGGGCCAAGACGACGTGAAGTGGGGCCTGAGAAGCGTCTTCCGCAAGTGTTTTCACTAACAATGGGTCAGTAATAATAAGGGGTTAGCTGTTGTCCTTTAGTAGAATTCAAAAGAATATACAAGTGCTTATAAGTCCAGATAATTGTTAGTTTCCTTGGGGGATAAGAAATAATGGAGGCAAACACATTTTTTTCCCTCTTCTATTTAATGCAGAGTTTTTCGGCTTTGGCATTATTCACATTTGGGGCTCAATATGAATTCTTTGCTGGGGGCCGCGGTGAGCTGCCCTCTGTTCTGTAGGGTTCTTAGCAGACGCTGTAGCCTGTCTCCACTAGATTCCAGTAGCAAGCCCTCCACCACCCTTTCCCTCGTCCCCAAATTGTGAGGATAGAAACAGTCTCCGGACATTGCCAAATATCTCCAGGGGATGGTTGATCACTGCTAGCTGAGAATCACTAATCTAATAGCATCGCAGCATCTCTCCTGTCTCCCCTTTCTCTCTACCTGCCCGCCCCCATACTGACCCCCATAACTGTTTTCCCGGCCCGAGTACACAAGCAGTTCATACCTATGACTTACACCCCCATCCTAGCGACCGGTACCAACCAAGATTTTTCTCTGTAGCTCTGTTTACTAGAAGTGCTATTAAAAGCAACTTGATAGAGCCAGCGCAACTGGATGTAATTAAGAGCAGTTAAATAAGGGAATCTTATGAAAAAAGGATAAAGGGAGTGCTCAAGTAGTTTGCTGCGATGAGGGGTGTGTTTAAAAGTATTTGTTACGTGTTTTTCTCCATGTTAAAATGCTCCTCATTTAAAAAGGAACAGCTTAAGTACTACTTCAGAATGTTTCCTTTGGTAAAAAGCCTAAACCAGACCAGCAAATTAATGAAGACAATATAGGTCTGTCCAGGAACAATTTTTTCCCTTTCAACTCCTACGCATTTCTGTAAAATAAATATTTAATTTGAGAATAATTTTAGATTTAAAGAAAAATTACCAAGGTAGTACAGATGGTCCCCTACACCACACACCCAGTCATCCTGTTATTAACATCTTCCACGTGTATGGTCCATTTGTCACAATGAATAAAACAACATTGATACTTTATTATTAACTAAAGTCAATACTGTATTCAGACATCTTTAGTTTTTCCCTAAAGTCCTTTTTTTGTTCCAGGATTCTATCAGGAGACCACATGACATTTTAGCTCATTTAGCTCACAATCCCCTGTGAGCTGCTTCGGCATAGGGATCCATTTCATTCACGTCTCCATTCACAAGGCCCTCAGTTCAATGCCTTATACATTGAAGGCATTCACTAAAAGCTTACTGAATTGGATTTCTTAAAAAAAAAAAAAAAAAAAAAAAGTTATCCTGGCCTCGAAGCTTGAACCGAGCCCTGAAAGTGAGTTGGAAGAATGCTCATGGGAGAAGAGCTAAAAATACCTTCTCATTAAAGTGACGATCAGAAATACCCGTGAACTCTGGGAAGGAAATGCTTCAGGTTCTCTGGCAGCACAGGGCTCTGGGGCTGAGTTCTGACTGGAAGAAACATGCCCGGTCCAGGGACCGTCTTTTGCCCACACTGGAAGATGACAAGGTGTGGTGGGCCGCACTGCGCTCTGGGACTCAGCAGACCAGCGATCCAGACTGCAGGGCACTAACTCCGTGACCTCCAGAAAGTTTCCTGACCTCTCTGGGCTCCAGTTTCCTCAACTGTAAAATGCCGGTGGAGGACCTTGGGCAGACCTTGAGGATCCCTCCAGCTCTAACATTCTGTGATTCTAGGTGCAGTTATATGAGTCCTGGAAGCACGGCTCCTCCATGCAGCCTTTTGGAAAAAAAGGAAAGGAAAAGGGAAAAGAAAAACACTTCCATAAATCTATTTATAGCACAGCCAGTGACTATGAATCATGGCATAATTAATCCTCTCTTATACACTTGCCTTGTTCCCTGACTTGGTGCAAGTCATTCCCAAGCCCTCCTCAACAGCAGCTTCGTTGACAGATACGGCATTTTCCTTGTCGCTTCCCACTGAATAAGTTCGAAGCCTCCAGACTAATCTCTGAGTTTCTGCCAGTTCCAGATTTCTGTAACCGCACGATTCTCATCTTATGTGACTGACTGACAGGCCCAGTTCCCAAAGGATGTGAGATAA